ATGTAAACATATATGTATTAATATGGAAAAGAATTTCAATAGTATATGCATATTATTTGAAATGCACATTTTGAATCGAACAATCCTGGAAAATGAGGAAATGTAGAGTAGTGGAGGCTTGTATTTCAATAAGTCGTCCTAAATTAGGTCCGACGTACAAAACGTTAGGAACTTGGAAGTAAGAGTTAATGACGCAGCAATCTAGTTGTGATGGTTGGTACTTCAATGTCCGATATCGACTGACTCACTCAACACCACTGAGCCCAACTGGCGACCGCTACTACTACTACTACTACTTATTATGTGTGGGAGAGTCAATAGAATAGGTAGATCAGGTATAACATATTCAGATATAAAAGGGTGCCTTTAGCGAAAAAAAAAGGTTTAGAATCCCTGTCTTAGATGATCAAATGATGCCAACTGTGTGGATAAAGCCGTGGTTTCGGTGGCTTTAACCACCAGTGTGCCATTGCGCTGTGTATGTTCGTTCGGCTTTGTAGGAAGCGTGTGGCGCCATGCCATCCAATGTGCTTATGTTCCCTGTTTAATACAATTTGTAATGATCTGGCACTAATGGAAAAGGAGTAGTGGACGGAACTTTGCCGATCAATAAAGTGATTAAGAAATTCGTATTCCTTCGAGGTTTAAATACTATAAAAGCATTTCTAAGCCATGTTGCCGGGATCTTGTCACTTGGGAACGCATATTCGCTTCCGCTGTCAACAGATCAGAAAATAGCGACAAATCGTTAGAGTGCAACTAGATGGCTTGTTGCCATTTACTGAGGTTACGTTAGTTCTAACACAAGGCCATCACTATGGAGCATCCAGTTTGAATCAAACTCTCTAATCTGTATTAATTATTAACCAGACGCTGAGACATTATGCAAAATATTTTCGTTTGTTTCATGCCTGAAATGCATCTTCAAGCCATGATTGCGTTCAAGCATGAGACAGACTGTGACCGTTTGGTGTTGACCTAGGTGTCCACTTTAATATTCACGCTCTGTTTCTGATATTGAGCACTTTTACCCATAAATATATCTAACCTTGAATCTATATTTTTTATATATATATATATATATATATATATATATATATATATATATATATATATATATATATATATATATATATTTTCATTCTTTTACAGTTGTATATATATATAATTTTGCTTGAAGATGAAACGAGACTAAACACCTCAATTCAACTTTAATTTTAATAATTATTTGGATGATTTCGGCTCTCGTTTTTGAAACATGAGAACTCTTATGTAGCGAAGGAATCATATTTTTAAACAAAAAAAACATTATTATAATAAAGCTCTACTTATGTATGGAGCACTGTCTTCTTAAAAATGAAAACAAAAATACTAAGGAACTCTGGATTATGCACCCAACGTGTTCTTTTCTATTTTCTGCATACCGGCGCACTTATATATATATATATATATATATATATATATATATATATATATATATATTACATAGAAGGCAAAGAAACAAATATATAAAACTTTCCATAAAAGGTAAAAACAAAGAAAAAAAGCAGATTAAAGTAAAAAAAAAAAGGAAAGAGAATAAGAAATGAATGAAAAGAAATAAAAAGAGGAAAGAACAGAAAGGTATAAGAAAACATAAGAAATCAACTCTACGACAGAGAGAAGGAAAAGAAAAGAAAAGAAAAAGGAAAAAGAAGGGAAGGGATATATGCAAATTTCTTTACAGATACAAAGGAAAAGGAAAGCGAAGGAAATAAAATATGAGAAGTTGTTATTACCTGTTTAGCCAATCAAGAGACGTTAAGCTGGAGAATTCAAAATTAAACGGAAATATTTACGTAACAAGATAGAACATATTTTAGATACATTGTAGCATTTCAAACTTTATGGCATTTTGTATGAAATCACATATCCAAACAAAATTAAACATAGTAACTAAAAATAATATATATATATATATATATATATATATATATATATATATATATATGCTCGTCAAAGGTATCAACAATTTACTGGGATATGTATATATATATATATACTCAACCAGCTGATGAATAATCATAAGTGTTCTCAAATTTAAAACCCTTGAAAAACTAATGTCATTCTTGCTCTTGTATATAAACATGTGCAACAAAATATATCCTCACATTTGCCTTGATAATGTCCCTCAGAATATGAAACGCCTCGGCTAAGACTTTTTTCTTACTGTCTTTTTATTCATTTTTTCCTTCACAGATACACTCTATCTGAAAATAATTTACACACACACACACACATATATATATATCCATATATATATATAATTTTTTTGCTTCTTTTTAATTTGCTTAGTTTTTGGATTTCAGTGTCGCACTTTGCTTCCTCAGTTAAAACATTTTTCCAGATATTTAATTTGTCGTCCCAATTTGATTGTGGTATCTCCAATTTGTAATTTGCATGTGGGGCTGCTCCTTTCACGTAATAATAATTCAATAATAATCTTCTAACTTGATCTATATGCATTATCTTAATTATATTTAAATCATTAGGAGTGTTACAAATATAAATGAAACATTACTGATATTAAATTTGCTAACATCCAACAAACGCCTTGTGCAAAAAGAGTAATGGTAACAGTAATGGCAATATTAGCCGTTTCCTTATAAGGAAACATTTGGTCTTCATTGACGTAGCAGCCAGTACTGCTTTCCACTGAAATTTATATGATCCTTCTCTTGAAACACTTTTTTTTTTTTAAAGAAAACAGTTTTTTTCAAATCCAGTAGGCCTTATCGCTCTTTCCAGTATTGATAGGGATTTCTTTCCTAACCTTTTGTTTGGAGCAGTGTGGAATGTCAACATCTTGATTATGTCATTATTTTCTCTTCGAGTTACATGTGATATCCATTTTAATTGTTGCTGCTGTTGAAAGTCCTCAAGTGATGTGGTTTCTGTTATTTGGCACAGTTCTTTGTTTGTGATTATGTAGCGCCAATCCATATTGTTCAAAGAAGGATGATCTTTGCCAAGACCCTCAGTCTTTACTTGTTCAAAGGCTATTTTCGCAATTAATCTGAAGGAGCGGTTGTTTACAACTGACAGTTTAGATATTTCTGAACAGGTTTGGTGCCGTTAATGTCACCCATATGAAAGTCTTAATCTGAGAAGTCTTGATCAGAACATGACACAACTTTGTTGTTTTGGTTTTGTAGCAACTTGCGGTATTGGGCGAAACTACCACTAGCAGTCTATTCTATGTTCAGTTTCCTTATCTCCTATACTTAATTTCTTATAGCTGAGGTCTCGCCTTACTAGAGTGAAGTAGCCTTTTATGGCAGTGAATGATGGACGATCTCCCCACAGACGTAGGAAAGACTTGAACCGGCACAAGTGGTCTTGTCGACTAATATTAAAGAGTATCAACTACAGAATATGTGAGCCACGGTAAAAAAAAAAAAAAACTTAAGAAAAATAAGAACAATGAAACTTACAAGCAGAAAGAGACAGTTGAAATTTCTGGGATATACATAATGAGAAAAGAAGGCCTGACGATTTTAACATCCCCAAAACATGTTGAAATCAAGACAAGCAGAGGGAGACCGCGAGTAACCTGAATGGGTGACATAGCAGGGACGAAGAGGGATATTACTTAGATAAACCAAAGACAAGAAATTGTGGAGAGCCATGATCTGAATGAACACAAAAATTAAAATAAGATACATTGTGTTACTCGATAGAGACTTAAAGTTACATGAATATGGTCACAAGTCAAAAGTTACTTAGATCAACCAAAGACAAGAAATTGTGGAGAGCCACGATCATTCACATTCTAAAGGGACATAACAGATAAAAGAAAATGTGGATTAAGGACGGTAAAGTTGTGGAGACCTACGATCGATGGAGACTTAACCCGACAGAAACATGGTTCTACCAACGAATGCTAAAATTAGTCGATTGTTCGGAAAATAATGTACTATTCTAGAATCAACCTTTATTCCTGAATTAATGTATTTAAACAGTATTTAAATCAGTCAAAATAGGAAACCTAAATATCTATATATTTCTGCCATTGTGTCACAAGATTATTTATGCCTTTTGTGATAAAACTGTAATGGTTTGGATGACAAGAAATCTTGCGAATGCAGTTTCTTCTTTGTAATGGAATATCTTTTGACTTGAAAAATTGCCAAGACGCTTTAAAACGTGGTAATCAGTGGACGAGAGATCAAAGGAATATGGTAGGTGTGTCAAAGTCTCGTATTTCAAGTCGGTGAGCTTCTGCAGTCACATCCTGGCAAAATGTGGCCAAGTTTTGTCATGAAGCAGAATTGGAGCTTGTCGATTAACCTGTGCTGGTCGCATTTTGCTAAACTGAAAGTGCATTTCGCCCAGTTTCTGAAAGTAAACTCTGGCAGTGATACTCTGGTTAGATTTCAGAAAGCTGTAATATGTAACGCCATTAGCAGACCACAAGACACACACCATAATCTTCTGTTGGTGCAATTTCATTTTGGAAAATGTTTGGGTTCTTCGTCATGATCAAGTTACTGAGCCAATTATTTACGATTGTCTTAAAAGATCTATTTCTAATCACAAATACCCATTCGATCAAGAAATGGATTATTCGAATTTTGCAGAATCAAACTTTGACTTTTCCTGAGTTCATGTGGAACCCATTTATCGAGACACTTCACCATGACAATTTTCTTGAGATGGTCTGATATTATTGAAATGCTGATACCCATTATCTGAGAAATTTCTATGACACTTTGACGTGGGCTTTGTTCAGCTTGTGTTTTCAAATGTTGATTGTCAATTGCAGATGGACGTCCTCTTTTTGGAGATAATAATGGCTTCAGTGATACAAGTCTTACTAATTAACCCACAGATGGGGGTAGAAGAGGTAGATTCGTGCCTTTCCCATGGTTATTTGCGCGTGAGCGAATCTAGAGAAACCAACTGGAATCGGAACTCGACCCTCAAATTCCGAGTCGTTATCCACCACTCTCATATCCAAGCTTACAGCACCTTGTATTCCCAAGCGGTCACCCATCTAGGTACTGACAAGAATCGACGTTACTTAACTTCGGTGATCGTACAGTAACCAGTGTTTCAACACGATGTGGCCGTAACCCTTAATGTGCTTATGTGAACAGACGGCAGAGCAGGCACAAAAGGAAACGGTAAAGTTTGTTGGATCAATAAAAGAGAAGAGGTTGTGGAGAACCATTATCGTACCCATGTTCCTGATACATCTTGATACATAAGAGATGATGGACTGAATATTTACACAGATTAAGAAGAATTTCGTAATCTTCCGAGAGGTCACCATTTTCGCTCATAATTTTGCCCGGGTTAAAATATAAGTTTGAATCATGAGTAATTTCAGTTTTTGGGAACCAGTTGTGATAATGAATATCACCCTTATCATATAATACATTAATGTATATAATATGTAATGCAATATAATATGTAATAATAATTAGATATGATGTGGAGTAATGGATAGCGGCTCGGATTGAGAAACCGGAGAGCCGAGTTCGAATTCCAGTTGAATCCTTTACATTCACTTACGTGCTTGGGAAAGGTTTGAATCCTCTTCTTTCCCCTCCCCCGCAAGCTATGAGTAAATAGCAGGACAGACTGGATTCTTTAGCCTTGGACAGCAACTGGTCTACTGCAGAAAGAAATGGCAACCTACTGCGGGAAAAAAATCTGCCTCGTCAGTCATGTATTGAAAGATACATGATCGCCTAAGCGTGTATCACGCATGGCACATAACTGACTGACTGATGTAATATAATTATGTATATAATACATTTAATATATATCAATTGTGATAACGAATATCACCCTTATCATCCTCACATATAGTATCACCTAACTGCTAATAATACATGACAGTTAAGAATAAATTTGGTCTACATTAACATACCTTTGTTTTTTGCACGCTAGTGGCAAGGTACACGGTGGATTAAAGAATAAATTACTTACCTCCACTCATAATGGGATTGAACATGCATTCATGTCACAGAATGTTACTAGAATTCAAACAAGAGAATAATGCTATGGAGGCATCTAAAAAAATGTAGTGGTTAAGTAGTCATAACTGACCCGCATAACTGATTATTATTATTGATTCCTTTTCTACGGTTTATCAAACTTTTGCGGGTTATTTAAAGCCAGAAAATATTTTTAAATAGTAAGAATTTTTTTGAGATAATAATTATTCAGAGATCCAAGTCTTACTAATTAACCCATAGCTGGGAAGAGAAGAGGTGAATTCATACCTTTCCCAAGTGTATTTGCACAATGAAACCAACTGAAATTGGAACGCTGCTCTCCCATTAACAATTTTGAGCCATTATCCATGACACCACTCGCACATCCAAGCTTTCAGTAGCTGGTATTCACAAGCGGTGACCCATCTAGTTAGTAACGAGGCTCAACGTTGCTTAACTTCGGTGATCGGAGGAGGACCGGTGTTTCAACGTGATATGGCAAGAATTAAATTAGTTTGTGAAGTTTCGTTCTGCAAAAACGTCGTTGGAAGATGAACCCGGGATAGGGCGTTCACCGGACTTTGACGGTGAAGCCTTAAATTCCTTAGTAGAAAACAATCAATCTCAGAATACTTCGGGGTAAGCAGCAGAATCAAACACATCCCATCTACCGTATGCCGACACTTAGAAAATGTAGATTTAGTGGGCTGTGTGTTTGGGCCCCACACGTTCCTCCCGAAAAGAACAATGCTGATTGTAGATAAATAAAAAACAGGAATTATTTATGACTCAAACTGGTAGATGTCAGACGATCAGCTACCAGAAAGCGGTGATCTACCTGCAGTAGTAGCAGTAGTAGTCGTAGTAGTCGTAGTAGTAGTAGTAGTACAGACGATACAATTCTCTTGCCTTCGAAATACATACTTTTGATAAGGCGATTTCTTCAAACTAAACTACTGATTTAAACGCGTTCTCCTTGACACAGAACCACCGTCGTTTTTCTTTTTCTTCAGAGCGATCAACGTTTCCGGTTCACTTTGGAAACCTTAACAATTCCTGCTGCGAATCAATCGACATTGGCAATACGTTCGAGGAAATTAACTTGTTCAATTTTCTACTTGGTTTCACAACATCCTTTCACTCCGTTTCCCATCAAAACGTGACCAAAAGGTGTGTAAATGACGTCGGCAACAGTCGTCCACTTACATTTCGAGGGCGTCTTCTGACACTGGGACTGACGTTTGGACGCGTTCAAGCGAGTCGTGACTTGTAAAAGAATGCTTCACTCACTGCAAAGGATTCGTGAAAGTCGAAGTGTACAGACACGTGTGTAATGATTTTAAGTGTAAAGCTCGAAGGCTTCTCTAATAATAGATAAAGGATGTTTAAATCTATTTATAAATGCTTATATATATGGGATAACGATATATAAATTTTTATATATCAAAAACAATTTTAGGGGAAAAAACTATGACAAAGTGGAAAATGTGTTCGTGTAATGCGTTTCGTCCCTTAGAAATTTGTCGCATTAAAGTTAGGAAGCACGGTGGAGTAATGGTTAGCGGCTTGGATTGAGGAATCGGAGAGTAGAGTTCGAATTCAAGTCGAATCCATTACATTCACTTACGTGCTAATACCCTTAGGAAACGTGTGAATCCTCTTCTTCTCCCTCCAGCTATGGGTAAATGGTAGGACAGACTGGGTTCTATAGCCTTAGATGGCAACTGGTCTAGGAGAAGGAAAAACTCTGAATTCAAAACCTGCGGCAGGTCGTTGTGGCACGTAGTGCACCAGGTCTCTGTAATCGGCCCTTCAAAAAGTATGGATGGTCCTGCACAAAACCTTCACCACTATAATCAGATCTCATGTGCTATACATGCGGGGTGGGGACCGCTTGTGAATTCCAAATTCCCATGAAACTCCAATATTGGAGCCGGCTCAACCCACCTCGGGTGAATACCGTTACAAGAAGAGAGAAGATTAAAGTTGACGCCATTACACATGTACAAGAAGGAGAGGGGACACGAACAATTTAAAACGCAATTTTTTTTTAATATATGTTAGTTGGTGGTTTTTGTTTAGAAGCATATCAACGTCTATGGAATATTTAATACTGAAAACAAAATATTTTCTACGTAATTTTTATTTTTGGAGATAATAATGGTTTTAGTGACACAACTCTTACTAATTAACATGTATCTGATTGGGGACGAAGAAAAGGTGGATTCATAACTTTCCCAAGGATATTTGCGCGTAAGTGAATATAACGAACCCAATTGGAATTAGAACTCGGCTCCCCGATTAACAATTCCTAGCCATTATCTATTACACCTAAATTTACAGTGCCCGGTATTCTCAAGCAGTCACCTATCTAGGTACTGATAAGCCTCGACGTTGCTTAGCCTCGATGATCGTACGGGAACCAATGTTTTAAAGTGATGTGGCCGTAAGCTTTAAATATTTTTTGTGTATATAATCTACCGGATTACATTTAACTTATTTTTTTTCTTTTTGTTAATTATTATTAAATCATTATTATTAACTATCCCATACTTATTAAATACCCCACAACGCGATAATAGAATACCACAGTATAGAAATATTAAATAATAAAAATGACATGTTGAAGCTGCTGGAAGTAAAATGGTGCATTGATTGTTTATTTGCGTTCTAAGAACTCTAATTGGATAATCCATGGCATCAATCCCAGAATCAATGGAACTCGACTTTCGACTTTTGGGGTCGATTGTGGAGATTAATTCTGGTCCATCCACAGTCTTTTGCATTGAACATTGTTATAGGTAACCCATTTTATATTTTAGGAATGGTTACTTAGGATTATATATTCTTCATTACCATAGGTCCGTATATAACGCAATAATGTTTATATTTATATATATATATATATATATATATATATATATATATATATATATATATATATATATATTGCTGTTTTTAATGGAGAATTGTAGTTTAAAAACATTAAAATCGACTTTGCTAACCCTTGCTTTTCTCCTTGCAGAATATCGTCAGAATATTTATGCTGGTTTCATTCATCTTTAAATATATGTTTAAATTTTCTTGATACAGACAAACTTCTCATCTACGGAACCCCATCAACAGGGACTTCAGATGCAACGGACAAAATCTGAAGGCAAAATTTTTAAAAATCTGCAGAAAAAAAAAAACAAAAAAACTTCCAAATCGTCAGCGATGTATTTCAAAATTCGCAGGCTTAGCGGAACGAATCGTATTAGTTCTCAAAGTGACCGCTTGGCGGCGGTGGCGGGCCTTTCAATTGTAAACAAAGACGGGTGTTCAGTATATAAAGTACGATACATTAGCGCGTGCGTGAGAAAGTAGCTCTGAGAAATCTATTATTTTTCTTGTTTTGCTTAATATATCTATATTAAGTTTATATTTATTTATGTCATATATACATGTTTATAGTATTTACATTATAATCATAACTAGTGGTAGTTACTATAGCGGTTTTGTAACTAAAAATTATCCCTTCCCATCTACGGACAATAGGCTTTAACGGACAACCCGATTTCTCTATTAGTCCATTGATGAGAGGCTTGTCTTTACTCTTTAAGCATGGATTATTTTTCCTGAACTTCGCCGGATACCGCTGCTAGTAATGCAGTAACATTAAATGTAAGTGAAGTGGTTCTTTTATATAAATACCATCAGGCTTCGCCCGCTCTCTATCGTTTCGCAAAGATATATTCACTACTTTTTTTTTTTACTATTTTAAATGAACATTTCATTCATAAATTGGCTTGTTATAGTTAAGGAAAGTTTTACAAATAGATGCCAACTTGTTGAAGGCCGAGTAAAATGCAAACTTCAAACACTTTTCCGCTCTATTTAAGACGATATTTCTGAACAGACCTATTTTTGATATGAAAATCAAAACAATCCTCGAATAAAAAAAAATCAATACGCAAATATCAGAGGCGACACCGTCGAAGGACAGAGTCTCAACTGAGGAAAATACTGAGAGGTGTCCAGCTCTGGAGAACAGGCCTCACCCTCTTATTGCACTAGAGAGAGGGTCAGCACTCGCACCGAGGCCAGCGCAACCGACGTTTGCGAAGGCTCGGGAATTTTTGTTCTTAAT